ATGTAATGATTTGAGTTCAAATATATTCATTTGGGGGCTTTTCCGAGAAAATATTGTGTGATTGTTGCGCTTAAATCAGCATATCTGCTACCCCTCTCTGGCCACCCCATGAACATTCTTCTAGCTCCACCCCTGCTGCTGGCCAGAAGCTATATTACTACCTACTGTATATGCAAACAGGGCATCAGATTCTGTGTATTCCTTTTTTATAAATGTGTGTGGGACTGTAACAAAGTGAGCAGAACACAGTTTTCTTCACATCGACCTCTCTTGAAAATGCAAACACAGGAGACAGGATATTTCTCTTAAGCTTTTATTAATATTTAAGTTTGCTTTTTTAAGGATGTCCATTGTTTTACACAGAGAAATTAGCCACACAAGTAATTTGATTGTATTCTCTTTAACTTTAATCTTCTTTTTTTTTTTTTTTACCGTTAATTATATTATTCTCCCTTATCAGCGCTAATGCTAAAAAAGTTACACAAGAACTATCACACGGTTAACTAACTTGTGAGCACATTGGGACGGTAAACTAACACTTCACAGAGATCAAACAAAAAAATGTAATTTCCAAAAGATTGAGGGGAAAGAAAATAAATGATTTAAGTAAAAATTAAAGAGACAAAACCAAAGACAAAATGGACAAGCATTTACAATCACACAGCCCTGCTCAACTCTCCTCAAAGAAGGACCACTCCTTTTCCTTATTTGGCAATTTTACTTTCCAGGCTCCACCCATTATCCCTTATTTGGTAGACGTTCCCATGCCCGATTGAGTTTAAACTGAAGTCAGGGAACATTTACATTCTATAAGTGCCTTCGTCCTAGTCTGACATCACATTTTGCATTTACACCCTAACGCACAAAATCTTCTAAACATCAAGATTTGCTGTCGCCTTATTAAATGCGACAGTGGTTAGCGGTTCAAAGGCTGGTTGTGAATTGCACTATGTGATGGGCCAGACTTAAAACAGATGATTGTTGTCGTCACTATCACCATCATTAATATCTCCCAAGTACCATTCTATTCGAAGCTCAAATCTGAGGCCCTCCACTGACTTTCCTTTTTTCCTACATTTCTACTTCATCAGGTTCAGGAAAGGAGCACTAGACAGCATGTGAAAGAAACAGGCAAACCTCCAACTGACTCATAAAAATGCTTATTAAAGAAAAAAAAGAAATAATCAGATGCAACACTGCATCGGAAACACAAAGGCGGCACGCTTACGAATGCACATGCTCTCCAAGGATATCGGATCGGGTCCAAATACGGGTCCTTTAAAAAGTACGGTCAGTCCAATGGCTGCACGTCACAGGGCAGTGGCAAGCTTTGTGTTTATCCGCTGCTGAAATATTACCTATTTAGAAGGAATTTTCAGTCAGACATTTTACAATCTTTTGCAAATTCAGTTTACAGCATTTCTTATCGCACAATTTGGACAGAATTTGCCCGCATTATGGGGCTCTTAGTTTTGGCAGTAATATTGCTTATTGGCTGCAATTCCTTTAAGGTTTTTTTTAAAGGTGCAGATATTGGCTGATAATTTTTCACTCTAAAAACTTGCCTCTTATGACTGAAGCTGTACCAAAAAGGCGCAGCCCTGGTGGCAAAGTGTGTTTTTTCTGAGTGTGTTGGCAGTGAAGGGGCTGGTACATTGTCGCTAATATTTCACAGGGGCTTTTCGTTGGTCTCAAAACGGATTCCTAAACTTTTCCATAGGCCCTCCTTGCTGCATTAATTGTGCTTACAGGATAAAAGCGCTTCGATACGCCTCACATTCACTTCCACAGACACGCACCCATACGCTCACGCACATACATCGCAACGACCACATGCAAAACACAATTCTCTTGACCCTGTTGCTTGAAATAAAGCCGCTTGTTGCTAGAGAGGAGCCTGTGTTCGTTTTTCCCTCACATCGCACAGAAACTCAAGTATTCTAGCTGGGTTTGTTAGGAGGTATCCATGCACGGGCAAGGCTAAGAGCTTTTACAACCCAGATGATAAAACACAGTGATCCCTTCTGGCCATGCCTAACACTTCAATGCAATATCCAAACCGGCATGCTACTGAGTGATGTAATGCTCCCTGTTGAGTAGTACACAAGCGTGGATATTAGGACACGCAGTGCGAGACCGCCAGCGATATTGGAAGCACTATTTAGTGTGCGACTAGTGTTAATGATAGGGTGATAGCTGGCTAAAGCGCACAAACACCCTCAGTCTCACCTATGCCTACCTTCAAAACCGTCACGTTCGTTTAAACAAGCGTCAAACATGACAGCACGTACACACACACACATCCATATCCACACAACTCATTAGCAGAATATAAAAGAAAAAAATATATATTGTCCAGTCAATATTCACATGGGCTGATACCAGGCATGCAACTTCCGCACAGTCCAAAAGAAAGAAAAAAATAAACAACCAAATAAAAAAAAGCTTCCTGCCCACCTTCTTGAATCCAATGGGAAAACGAAACAGTCACTTATAGACGGGGCAAATGGAAGACATAAACAACCTGGCAACAACAAGGAGGAAGTAGTCACTATAATGGCTCTCACTGGCTGATACCGCATGACGGGTCAACCAATCAGTAGCTTCCGGCCCTTGCTGAGGGAGGTTACGAATAAAAAATAAAATCCGATCGAAGAAATAAAAATAACACAATAAAAACTAGCTTAAAAAGTAGTAGACACACATTGTTATAAGTATCTCTTCTATAGTATGTTTTTTTTTTTTTTACTCTATGTCATTTTAAACTCATTGCGTAATAAAGAGAAAAGTGTTACTGTTGTTTTTCTATTACATTATCATCATCATCATTAGCTTCATCATCAACAACATTATCATCAGCATCAAGAACAATACCGTTTTTCAGAATTATTACTATTTGTTAACGCAAGGTGTGTGACCTCTATAGGCCTCCTTATCTAAATTAAAGGGCTCTATTGGCTTACAGAGGCTCCAATAGAGGGAGAGAGAGAGAGAGAACTGGTTGCCACTCCTTCCCTACACCCCCCCCTTCTTTTTTATTAATCTCTTCTAGCCTATACTTCTAAAGTTCATTGCAGAACAGCCTAATCCACTTTGTTTTAAGCTGGAAGGGGGATGTGAGGAGCGGGAGTGGGCTTTGTATGTGGTGCAAAATTTGGAGGTTTTCTTCCTCTTTCTCCCTCCCTCCCCCTGTCTCTATTCCTATTCTGCACTCGTGGGGAATGATGGGAGTTGTTTAGTGACAAATAAGTAACCCATTCGTCTTGTTCCTGCATTATTGTCATGCTTCATCCTTCCCTTCCTTTCGCTTTGCCCTCTTCTTTCTCACTCTCACACATCTCTCGCTCATCTTTTTCATTTTTTCCTTCAGCAAGACACCTCCATCGTTTGGGAGGGGCTAGGTGGCATCTGGCCGCCCTGCGAGCCCTGGGACAGGGTGCGGGAGCGGGAGCGGGAGCCATCCATGGAGTAGGAGGAGGAGAGGGAGGTGGTGCGGGAGCGGGACAGGCGGGTCATGCAAGATGAAGCCACTGTAGAGAGATGGGTAGAAAGACATGGAAAGGCAAATTAGTTTCACGAAATAGAAATCCGTTAAACATTATGCAACATCTAACGGATAAAGCTGGCATTATTCTATAGTTTTCTTGTTGACTATGGTTGTTGTTTCATGGTACAGAAGCATTAAGCTTTGGCTAAACAGATACTTGTTAGTTGGATCAATTCATTGTTGTTTTTGGTCCTTTCATAAAATGTGTTGACAATAAGATAAATATAGAATATGGCCAGCCTTATCCTATTAAGGTTGGTAATACACAAAATGCATGTTTTGGGTATTATTACCTCCTATATTACTGTATATACATATAATCTGTACACACAAATCGTTTTATTAGGTGAAGTGAACTTACTGTAGCCCATTCCTTGGATGAAATACTTGAAAGCCTCTGTCAGTTTAGCAGGCTGCAAAAACAAAGAACATAAATTGTTTTACAGTTTAGTACAATCACTAATTATTACCTGAACTAACAACGTGGCATTCAAGGGTAACAGTTTTCATTTAATGGACTTAAAACCCAGAAATTCAGCTAAATCTGTAAAATGTGTACTTTTGAGAGTGGATTGTTTTCTTCTTTTGTGGTTTTTGCAGATAAAGCACTGAAAATATTACTTCAACAGCAGGTTGACATTTAATTCTTGATGTGCCCACTGCTGTTTAAGATCAGACTAATGCATCAATTCAGGTGCATAAAGAAGAATTTGGCAAACGGGATGAATAATTTAGCGTGGTCAGAGGTTTTCCTCAGTTGAAGGCCCACATGGTGATGGCTGATTGTTTAAACACAACAGTTCTGCTTGTTGCAGCTTCAACATCGATGCTTCAGGAGGACTTTCATTTGTCGTTACCTGGGTCAGCTGAGGGAGACCACCAGCATCAGCCATCTGTGGAGGAGGGACAGAAGAAGTGCATAAGAGTACATAACAAAGTAAAGTGTAAGTAATAACAGATAACCTTTAAAAAACAGACTAAAAAAAGAAAGACATGATGGTTTGTTACCTTTAAGAATGAGGTTGTTGTTGGGTCCATTTTGCTGTTGCACTCCACCTAGTGGTCAAAGAAGGGAAAACAGTGAACCTCTGCCATCACAACAAGATCCAGTATTTACTAATGGCAACCAACTCTTAATGTGTTGATATGATTGAGAAGTATAATAATTATATATAATTGTAACCCAAGTTAAGAAGCATTTTAGACTTTTTAAGAGAGTAGCAGAAACTTACGGCTGCGTCCTCATATGGAGCCTGATCGCCCACCACCAACATTACTGGACACCTGAGGGTGACAGAAACAAACATTGGAAGGGTGGATTAGATTTACAGGTTTATTTATGTATAAAAAATAAAAAAGCAAATATAAAGATTAAAGTATAAGGGTATTTACTTGAAGGAGCTGTTGCGGTCAATGTTCAAATCTCTGCGACTGGAGGGAAATGAAAAGAGGAGAATACGTTGGGTCGTGGTTTAATGTGGAGTACGCTTGTGTTTATGCAATGACGTGTGTGTGGTGTTTACCTGTTGTAAGTCTTCCAGAAAAGCTCTATGTTGACCAGATTAGAGGCTTTGGAGATGCGCTCTCTGTGAGACTGCAATAGATCTGTTTGATGACAGCTCCTCCTGCAAGAAAGTACATTGTTTTTCAACTGCAACCCAAAAAACGCACAAAATGATGCAAAATAAGCAGGATTTTAGAACTAACCAAATATTTTTTGGGACATTATGTTGCGTTTTGATACACATTTTGCATATACACAGAAAAAACACATTGACACGTTGTTGTACCTGACTGAAAAGGTGGGACAGGATCTGCTCCGTGAGGGAGGATGTCACAGAGCTGAGCTAGAGAGGAGAGAAATCAATAGGATTGTACATCATTTAAGTTTAATATGATAAACAATGACATAATCAATACTACTCAGAGACATGGACCATACAGTCACGTAATTTCATATCCACAGCTAAACTTAAATTGATGGAGCTCTCGTTAGGACTAACCGGATTAAAAGACCACATGTTTCTGTGTACAAGACGATGCAGTATCGACTCGAAAAGGCATAAAGGAATGAAGGAAACAAAATGTACCTTCTGAGCAGCCCAGTCTATCCATCCTCGGGCGTTAGTGTCGATGTTGATCAGAACCAGGCCTTCCACTGAGTCAGGGTTTGCAAGCTGATGAGAGAGAAAGACGGTGAGCAGTCAGTTGTTATAGACAGAAATGCTCATGAATAATGATAATAATGTGTGGAACTGCCCCCCCCCCCCCCCCGCTAGCGTTACTACCATGTTCCACTGTTGCTTGACCAACAAAACAACGTGTACTGCTATTGGCTACTGTCAGAACACTAGAGCTTAAACAAAACCCACAGACACTCACTGAGAACTTGGAGAGGACGTACGCTCCTGCTCCCACACCCACTCCGATTACGGTACGGAAGCTGGCAAAGGACAGAATTACTGTTAACATCACGCACTCTAACGTACAATACAATCAAAACTTATATCTTAACTTATATAGGGTTTTCTCTGAGGTAGGCTGGTTTAAAGGTAGATATTTTGGAATAAGTCAACTTTAGGCAAGTCACCAGGATAAGTAATTCCCCATGATTCTGAATTGAGAGAAATTTAAGTTATGGTAAAAAGCTGACTTTCAAGTGTGCTCTTCACACAACATATTAAAGTCATTTTGACATTTATAACGATTGCCCAGTGTTAAAAACCTGAGTTGCAGCAGCAATGCGTCAAAAGTGGGACTTTAATAAGTAGATCTGTGTCTAATATCACTTACACAACAAGAAGAACCAGTTAGAAATGCATGGCTCTGTAGATAACATACAATCACCTTCTGCGTGTCAAATTCTGCCCAGATAAATACTGTTAACTCACTTGAAAAACTGCAGGACGGCAGGGATCATCTCTGCTACGGTGTCCATGGAGGGATACTGGTAACTGCAACAGAAAAAGGTGCAGACTGTTTTCAGAACCAGAGATCTCGCCAAACCTATTTGTAATTATTGGAAATCAGAAACAATGACATTTTTTACTTCTTTCATCTTAAGCACCGAGACTTTTAACCACAGGGACTTAATATGAGCTCAAAAAGAGAATAAGCTTCAATTTCCAGAATCACCAGAAGAAGTTAAGGGTCACAGACGGTTGAGAGGTCGTGACAATACGTGCAACAAAATCCTCCCGAGCCACTAAAAATAATCACCCAAGGAAAAGAAGTGCTAGAGAAGTGCGGGGGAAAGAAATAAGAAGTGCATAAAGAGAGAGAAAAGGAGGGATTTTCTCTAAAGCTCTGACAAGAGCGTATTAGAGTCTCGCCGGAAAAGGAGGGAGATGTGAGAGATGGAAACGTTAAGTATTTTTGGAAGAGATTAGGTTTAAGCCTACCACAGAGGACTGTTACCATTTCTGAGAAAAAAAATCAAGGTTACTGCAGGACGATGACGATTCATCAATACACAGTTAATATATCGTACCCTGCGGGGTAGGCAGCAGCCCCCTCCTCCTGCCCTGGAGCATCAACGTGAATCAGGGTGAAATTCTTCACAATCTCCTGCATCTCCTCGAACTTAAACAGAGGGGAGAAGCAGCTCTTGCCTGCCAGAGAAGAGGGAGAGGAATCAAATTCGGTAGGTGGAGAAAGTCACAAAGAAAAGGACAAAGATTGTGTGACGGAGAGTTGGGGAAACAGAAAAGGCAGAGGGAAAGAGAGAGTTACTCACTGTCCAGACCCACATCGTGGAAGGTGAGGATTGCAGGCCTGCGGGTGGTCCGTGTGCCGTGGAGGGTCACGTGCAGAACACCATGTGGGGTCTCGATGCTGTGCTCCTGGAGAGAGAAAAAAAAAGATTGAAACAAATTCTGAAAAGTGCGATATTGACGTTACTGGAGCGAGGTTGCAGATATTTTACGCCCATATCGAGTGAAAATTCCCCAAGATTTGTATTCCTTGAGTTTTGTTTTCATCAAGATACTCCACACAACTCTATCCCTGTAGGCTAAGTTTGCTTTTTTTATACAAAGAATGGAGTGTGTTTTCAGCATGAATACAGAGTGGTTGAAAGACCGTCCTGTTTTCACAGTGGAAAGCATTAAAACAATCAATCAATATAAACTTCCACTCCTGCAGCATGAGGCACTTCTCCACTGTCCACCCACATGGCCAGTATGTTAGCTAAATTCACTTTAAATTAGTTTGGCTATGACAGTCGGATAAGTTGCACTTTGTTCAAAAATTAGGTGATTTATTAAACAATGTTCTACTTCTTGTTTATGTAATCTATGTTGAACTTCACTCCTGCCTGGCCCCCATTGTAGTTATGATTGTATTGTATATTAAGTTTGTACTCGATACCATGCAACCCTGGTATTCAGTCAATAAACCTGAGAGGAGGCAGTCTTACCTGTCCTTGGTCCAGGAGTATCCTGGCAGCCAGTTCAGCATCCTGTGAGAAATGAAGGAAGTCCTATTAGAAGAAGGAGTGCATAAGATTGTTGTATGTTTTGGGATTTAAATGCGACTAGAGATGCCACTCCACTTGCCACCTTTTGTTTGTTCATCAGATTGAAAAAGTGAAAGAGCAACTATGGCTGACAATTAAATCTGACAATTAGTTTCTTTATTAATCGATTAATCATCCATAAAACATGCCCATCATAATCAACGTCTTTAAATGTCTTGTCAGGCCAAAACACAAAAATAATGAGTTTACTATCGTGTAGCAAGCAACATCTTACCCTTGTAAACCTGAAACCATCAATCATTTGGCATTTTTGCTTGCAAGTGAGTGATTGGTTAATCAATTCTAATGACAGACACCGACTCCTTTTGGGTTTTGATTGTGACACTGCTTCCTTACGAACATCAGATTTTCCTAATGAAGATGCCCTAACCAGCTTTGTGCGTCAGCCATCAAGCTGAGCAACACTCGCCCTGGTTCTATTTATCATATTCTATATTTATTTACAAAGTTTAGTGCCCTTGCTCCATCTCAAACCTCCTAAAACGATCTGTGGAGTCTGGCCGGTGGGAGACGTTTGCTTTCTGCCAGAAATGACGAAAGACTAATTAACGAAGTTCTTACATGAACCACAGCATCCTGTATATAAGGATGTCCTCAAAAGGGGTGAGGTTTGGAAGGAAATCAGGGAGCTGTTGGGAGTTAAAAGTAAGTAAATTATCCTACAGCTATATAGAAACCAGTCTGACAAAAAGTTGCTCATCGTATATCTGGACCTTTTTTTTTGGGAGTCAGCCAGTGGGGGAAGAGTGTGTGCACATATCTGTATCCATAAAATGTGGTGTTTTCATTTTCTCCCCAGGGATATTAACGCCTACGTAACAATAAATTGTTCCAGTTTTGTAATCTGAGTCACTTTGTGTCATTTCATTTCAGTAATCTTAAGTGGAACCATTATTTTCTTCTTATTTTTTTGTCTTTTCATTGTGTATAAATAAAAAACAAAAGAATACACGAGAGACAATCCTTAGCTCCCCCCCTCCCCCCTTGCATGTTAAGTGAGGCCTTGCTTCCTAATTAACACCCACACAGGCAAGATGGGCGGCATTACACTCCCGATAAAGCAGCGGAGAACCTCTCCGGAGGAGCAGGTGGTTACGGTTGCTGAGGATTATAATGGAAGAAGTCTGTCAGTGGGAGGTTTTAAATGGGATATTCATTTGCAACCTCAGATCCATTCACCCCACTAATGAATTACTAGCATCACAAGCTCTTAGGAAATTAGCACTCTGGGAAGTTGAAGAGGAGGTGGGCGTGTGCAGATGGGTGTCATCACTAAGGAGACAATGGAGAGTCATGGGGGTTTGGTGATTGGAGGGAGGGCCCCCGGCTAGATTATAAATGTCATTAGTTCATAGACGTTAGCGTGTGTTCAGTGGCAGGAGACGGATGTTAAATGCACGTGGGTGGAGTGAGGTTTGGATATATGACGTGGAACTTCCCAATCTTTGCTACATTTCCTCCTCAGAATCACCCTTCACACCCTCGTGGGTTATGTTGTAGCGGATGCTGAAGGCGAGAGTAATGACTCTGGAGCAGACATGTGTATTGTCAGATTAATTCGCAAGCTCTTCTCTTTTTTTTTAGGTACTTTAGAAAAAAGGGGTTCTATGGTTTTTACATTTCAACCACCACTGAAGGACCACATGGTTTTATTTTGTAGAAATACTGTAATATAAGAGTCTGTGTATAGATCAAATTCTACGGTATATCACTGTAAAAAGGTTGCTGTAAATTTTACAGTAACTCACAAGCAGCTAGATGCCAGTAAGTGTTTTTAGCGAAGCGTATGACGCATTTCTTGACATTTCACATTACACACAATAGACAGGACTGTATGGGGTTGACAAAATCCAATCATCGGATTTTTATTTTGGAAATCTTTCTGGAACAGGTTCCCCACTCTTTTTAGGGAATCATTTTCCAGTACCTTTCCAGGACATTTTCCAGGAGTTTTTCCTGACAGAACAGGACAGCACTTGCTCACAAACGGTCATAATTTACCAGTAGGCCCAGTATTGACTATTTTTTCTTTTTTCTCTGGTGATTTAAACACAGTTTATTACATTTTTCTTTTAACCTAGATTTACGTAGGTAGTACTGACAATTTTTTTCTAAAATACAATAAACATTTTCCAGGACAATATAGATTATTACCAGGATATTTATTCATTTTGATCAATTTCTAGGTGTTTCTATGACTGGAAAACTAGTCTCTGAATTTTCAGGTTTTCCAGGTTGCGTGGGAACCCTGAGGAAACAACTGTATAAAGTTAAAAACTGCAAAAATGGTCAAACTTTGGAGACAAAAAGGTTTTCAACAACAAAACACAGTCATACTGCTTAAACACAGTAAGCTTTTCCCTCCTGTTCTGACACTAATGTATGTTTCTTGTTAACAATGCCACTACACCTCTACTCACTGGATGTCTCTTTGTACATCTGAAGCTGTGTTGTTTTTGTTTAAGTGCTGTGGTCCCCTGTTTGCCCACCAGGTGTCAGCAGTGAGAAACAAACCGCTCTGCATCTGCACGGCAACATCAGCGCGGCAGAGCAGAGGAGCTGCTCTCGCTCCCTCGGGGCTTTGACGTCAACCCGGCAGATCTGAGCCAGCGCCGCAGCTGTGCACTGACACACACACACACACACATACACACAACCCGTCATGCACATGTGTGTTTGAGACACATGTCGTCACATGTAGGCTTCACTCAGTCTCAAAAGTGCACACACTCAAATTCGTGCACATACAGCGGGCAAAGACACAAATGTTAACACACTCACACACAAACCAGCCCCTTGTTTTTCTGTCTCCTGGGACGCAGACACATGGACACACACACTTTTCTGTGGAGGTTTCAGATTAGGCACGTTACACACTGACGACCACGCAATTAATGTACTTATGTGTGCTCACGTCTGTTTCTCCATGCTTGGGTGTGTATAATATGTACGTGTGTACACATTTTTGTACCTGTGTGTGTGTGTGTGTGTGTGGTGTGTGTGTGTGGGGGGGGCAACAACTCTGACCTTAGTATCAGCCTGACCCGTGAGTAAAGGCTTTTCCTCTGTGATGGCGATCTCCTGCATTTCTGTGGTCATGGTGTCACCTCCTGTATGAGTAAGAGACCAGAGCATGAAAATCTGTTGTTCTCTGTACAACAATGAATACATCTTATTCTGACCGTCATCCTCACACACAGACACTTAACACTGTGGGTGCCGGTGCAGATGCACCAAACACACACACACACACACACACAGAGGCCGACACACGTGGGCGTATGCACGTACACACAGAGTGATTAAATACTGTATGTTTTCCTCTGGGACTTTGTTTGAGCTGTGGGACATTATGAAAGTTAATTAGTAATTAGTGCCAGCAGAGATGAGCACAAAAGGAGGGACAGAAAAAGAAAGAGTTAGAAGACAAGATCAGTACATGACCTAACAGACAGAAAACAGACCTATAAAACGCATGGATTGTGAGGTAGAGTTTTTAGAATATGTTGCAAATGATCAGAAAAATATAACACTAAACAAAGAGAGAAGAAAAAGAAAGATGGATGCCCCGTTTTTCATTTACGTTTTTAAAAAGTCAATCAGTTGCATTCATACAAACACGTAAAAGCGATCCTTGTGCACACAGGTCTGCAAAAACATCTGAATGTGTTGTAGTGTGCATGCCAAGCCAGTAGGTGGCGGTGTAACTTTGTTTTTGACTTTGTTATGTCTCGCCCAAAAAACATCTTTTGTTTGCCCTCAGCCGTTGCACAGGTGGATGGAGTATTTGACAGATTTAATGGATGCGCCTCCATTGATCACAGTAATGGTGCAGCAATTCTACACTCGAGGAGTGTCAATAAACTCAGCAGAGCCTGCAGCACAAACACAGCTCCCCTAGTCAGCCATTGTTGTTGTTGATCTTCTGTTCATGTATGGCTATTTGGCTGAAAATGTAATAGTTGTGCACAAAGTGAGGCCTTGTTTTCACAGCGAAAGCACATAAGCAATTTACACAGCGATAGAAACGGTGAAGTTTTCAAGAGACTGTTCAAAAGCATTTTGAGGTCCACCAAAACGGTGTTGTCGTGTGATCGAAAAGGCCAAAACGCAAAAAAAATTAACCGTTTTATGCATAAACACATTGTCGTGTAAACAGGGCCTAAGAGGGATGGGTAAAGACAGGTGTGATGACATAACTATGAGGAAAGAGGGATAAAAAAACAGGAAGATGAAAGTGAAAAATGACAACGACCAGAGGAGAGGACTGTGTGACAAATAAGCGGCAGATTAAGATGAGGCGCAGGGAAAAAATACTTTGTAGCCTCTGACATTATCTGAGGAAGGTTAGTCGAGCATGCAGCTTATTCTCAGACGCCTTTATAGCCACAGTGTGTTTGTGTGTGTGTGTGTGTGTTACTGTGAGTCCACCGGAGCAGCTGGGAGTTGAATGCTGCACCCAAGGGCACCACAAAGGTGGTTGTTCACAGACGCAGAGGTAAGTTCATTTCATTCTGCCACAGTGATCTCTTCACAGGTCTGGGAATTCAAAGTCTTTACATGTGTAAGAGCGCTCCACCTCTGTTGCTGCCTTAAATTAAACTGCAGAACATACTGTTACAGCCATGGTGGCCCAACATGTATCACTTCGCAGACTGTAACGAATTTGCAGATGTAAAGAACTCAACCCAAGTAAAAGCTTAGCATACTGTACGATAGATAACCATTAAATCGTCTTTTCACATTCAACCCTGTCAAACCTGGTACTTAAAATACCCACAAATCACCCACCAGCAGTTTGGTTGGACATTTAGGTGTGTTATGCAACAGTAGTAGCCTCAAACTGCTAGCCTCAAGCAGGAGGAGCAGTCTACAGAGCTCACTTCTTCTCATTTTCAAAATTGTAGTCTTCAGCCACACCAAAGAACCAACTATTAACAGTTTTTCCTCCCTATGGAGCCACAAAAGGCTTATAAATCATTATTTCACATATGCAGTAGTAATCCCCAAGACCTGAAAACAGACTTTGATGTGTTAAAACCGGTTCCTAATATAGAATCCATTCCTACATGGGAAAACACTCATTCAAATAAAAAAAAAAAACAACCCTAAAAACACTTCGACTTACAGTCCAACCTGTGTTTGTGTGCTCATCAGTACAAAGCTATTAAGACAAATTGTGTCTTGGAGCCAAAAGTTAAACCTCTGAAGCTACTGGATGACTTATAGGAGCCAAGTTTTGATTTTTTAATCCCAATACTGCTGCATTATCATTTATCCTCCTTCCTACTGTTTTGCATACACTCCTGTACTACTTCATATTGTCATTCTTGCCCCTCCTTTTTTTTTAAATTTTGCATTGTGTCGGATGGCTTCTCTGTTACCTGTTTCACGTAGGTAATGGCACAAAATCAAACATACAGACCCTGGATGGCCTACATCCAGCAATCATCCAATCGAAGTAAACACCTCCACACTGAGACTGAGAAATCCACACTTGTCCATGCATTTTTTGTTTTGTTTTCAGAATTTAAAAGGTACATAGTCAAAAGTCAGTGAGCAAGCAGCAGTTGTTATTGTGTCAGCTTGACAGCCATTATGGCCCTGATCTGGACATTGCTAACAGATGAAATAATGGGAGCGTTTAGACATAACTGTGTGTGTGTGTGTGTTTGTGTGCATCGTGTGTGCTGAGACACTGCACAATTCATGCTCTCTATAAACCGATGACTGTACTTCCTATCTGCAGATTTGGCATCAGAGATTACATCAGATGGGGGGGATAGTGCGGGGGGGGGGGCGAAGGCGAGTTTGATGTGTGCGTTTGTGTGTTTTTACGTGCATGTGTGCACTCATCAGAAAATGAACTGCTGCCCCAGGGGGCCCGTGTCTCTCTGGGCCTCAAACAGAAATGACTAGTCACCAAAGCAACCCCCACCCCACCCAACACACACAAACATGCACATACACACATTGCTTCCATTGTTTGCCTCCCCCACCACACACACATTGTATTTTTCACTGTCTCTCTTTGTCATTCGTCTCAATCATCTTATCTTTGTCTCTCTCTACCCGCGGTTTCAAAATAAAAGCACGTGCATGTCATGTAGCTGGTCCCCGATGTTGGACTTTCCTACCAAGCACAGAACAGAGAGTAATAGCGTGGGCTAAGAACAAAAATAAACACAAAATTAATCGTCTAATGGCGGAAATCCTGCAGCCAGATTACACCCCAAATGTAATCAAGGGATCTTTGGGCCAACAGATATCTGCCCGAATCCATTTTAGTGCTGCAACTAACTATTTTATTATCAATTAATCCACTGAATGGAGCCTGGATGTAGTTCAGGCAGGCGTAGAAGTCTTTTCTTGGGCAAATATTTCACATACCGCCAAACCCTTTATGTCCACACAGCATTTATGTAACATTAGGTGGTCCATATAAACATTTAGCACTCATCCAATCTGCACGTACAAAGCTCTGTCTCCTCGCTTTAACATCACTGCCTGCTTTTAGAAATTAAACTCCCTCCACCTCCCAATCCCTTCCCTTCACCAGCATTCAGTGGTATGTGATGTGTAAATATTACATCTATATTTAAGTTGCGAATCTCAGGTCCGTCAATCTTGCTCAGATTTGTTTGGAAGCATCACATCATCCCAATTAAAGCGTAAAACTTAACATAAGTGCCCTACCTGAATTCTTTTTCAGATCCAATAATTGTTTTTTCTATGGAAAGATCATAAAGGAAAGTGAAAAAAAGCCATCAAGATTTTCTAAAGCTCAAGGTGATGGCTTCAGATCGCTTGTTTTGCCTGACCAACAGTCCAAAACTCAATGATATCTAGTTCACAATCTAAAATATAAAAAAAAAAAAAACAGCAAATTGTGACATTTACGAAGCTGGGACCTGCAGATGTTGGCCTTTTGGACTAAAAAATGAATGACATGTATTTTCTGTCAATTGATTACTTGATTAAGTAACTAAATAATTGCTGCAGCCCTAATTGATTTGATACCGTTTGATTGATTTTGATTTTGCCCATGACCACACAAGTCGGAATAAACTCGCCTCGAGCAATTGATTGGTCGATTGACATAAGATTATTGACAGCTTAAATAATACATTTTCTCAAATGTCAATATTTGCTGGTTTTCTTAAAGACTTTGAGACAGAACAAGCAACTGAAATATGGATGGCTCTGGAAACAGTTTATTGACCAAACAATTCATGTATCAATTACCAAATTAATAGTTTGGCAGACAAATCAATTATGCAAGTAATCCTGCATCCTCCTAATTATTACATAAACCTCTAAAATACTTTAGGACATTTGAAAAAAGCTTATACAGACAATGCAGACTACAAGTGGCAACAAAATGTGAGACAAATACTGAATCTTTTGAGTCTGATAGTTGTCTCTTGTTCACCGCCCCTCCCCCCAGTTTCTCCACGACCAGCCGGTTTATCAAGCCTGTTTCTGGATTGTAGCTGTGCCAAGGACTTTGGTAGCTCTGCTGCAGTTAATATGCCTTTAGCAACTACCACATTCACACATTCGCATCAATACAAATGCAGGGTACAAGCACCAAAGCACTTATAAGAGCCTCCACCGGATACAAACACAACTGCGTATGTATGTACCGACATGCATATTCACTTCACCAGGTATTATTAAATCTGTGACGACAATGTAAAAAAGGTTGATAAACATAAAAATAGTCTAATATTGCTCTATTTAATATCTGTGGATGTATGTTAGCTAGATAAGCACATTAACGCATTGTGTCCTAACAATCTGATACTTCTTTTGTTGTCCCTCAGGAGCATTGATAGGGCACATCTAGATCAGGTGTGACTTCACTATTTTGCTCAAAGACACTTCAACAGGCTCTGAAAGCTGTTTGCCAACACATAGCCTTTAACGGACTACTCTGGCTGCTCTCTGATACTGTAGATTCCTGTGCCACAGCCCCTCCCAAACTATTTTTATAGGACTGGCATTCCCTAACTTGGCTGCAGAGTAAATATATTTATATGCTCCTCTGTGTATATTAACAGGTCTCTGGGATTACTCCATGTGGATGTCCAGGAAAGTTCTGCTGCAA